ATTAGAGAATGAAATATGGAGAAAACAAAAGATTTTGGAGCTTGGAAAGGAGATATATATATATATATATAGAGAGACACACACACATATATATATATATATAGATAGAGAACACACACATATATATATATATATATATATATATATATATATATATATATATAGAGAGAGAGAGAGACATATATACTGTCTGTGTTCCAGTTTATCATCACCCACCTCCACCCTCTGAGCTTACTTTTATATTTAACATAAATCTGACATTTAATTGGTTAATAAAGACATACCCACAAATCTGTTTTTAATTCTGACATTGTGTCCCCCCACCTTTAACTTTCATAAAATTGGTAACACTGTTTTTAAATTTCCTTAAAATTCATTTAATCACCAGTTACTTACCATTGTCTGAAGAAGTACAATCATCGTATTGAAACATGAAAGCTTCTGTGTAACGATTTCAAATATATTTTTATTATAATCTCTTATCATAATACGCACATACACACAGTTTTAAGGTGTGCTATGTTTATGGAATAAAGTGCTCAATATCAGAGATAGAGCATATATAAATATAATAGTGACTATTGAAGTCAACACTCAGAGGCAACTGTTTCATGCTAGACACAATCATCTGGCCTGATGATTGCATCTAGAATGAAATAGTTGCCTCTGTGTGTTGACTTCAATGTTCACTTTTATATTTATATATCTAGCAATATATAAATTTTTATATATCATGAACAATTTTGGAGGAAAGATGTATGACAAAGTGGTAAAAGTTTTCAGCTGATGGAGTCTTAAAGGATGCAATGTATCACATGAAAACTTTTTCTCACTTTGACCTACTTCTTTCATCCAACACACACACACACACACACACACATTCAACATACAAATGCGTATGTATAGACATAACACCACCCGTATACATACATATGTCATAGCCGAAACTGCCCACATACGTTTATATATGTATGAGTCCCGACGGACGACCAAGTATGTATATGTGTCTGCATATATCGATGTTTGCATTAGTACAATGAATGACAAAATGACGAAATTTCCCCCACAACTTCCACAATAACACCAATACACGCAATCTACATAAACCCAAATTTTTTAAAACATTAATCAGTTTGTCTGACGATCGCTAAAGCGTGAAACCCAGGGTCACAAACTCACATCTATCCAACCAAATATATATATATATATCTATATATTATGCTTATATATATATATATATATATATATATAATATATAAATAATTATATATATATATATATATTTATTTATATTTATATACATATACATATATATATATATATATATATATATATATATATATATATATATATATATATATATAATGTTAGAAAGCTCATCCAAACAATTACCATGAAAATATAGAAAACACACAGGGTGGCAACTTTATGTCGGTGGGAGAGTAACTAAAGCTGTGATGCCAGGACCAATAATATTGCAGAATCTTCAAATTTTATTAAGAATCTCTAAATATATAGCAGGAGCATTGGACCGTATGTGATAGCAATATTCAAGACATGGCTGAATAGTAGACTTATAGATATGTAAAATAGATTCTGGAGAGAAAAAATTGTCTAGCACAACACTGAACCAATCTTCTTAGCAGCAGACCTATCAGTCGATTTAATGTAGTCCTGTCAGCTGAGAATGCTAACCCAAGAGAGCATAACTAGTCACTCTCTTGGAGGTTAGCATCAGCCATACTGAGGGAAGGCAGAGAGAGTTCTCTCAGATGACTAATAGAGAACAGTTTTGTTTTGGAGGTATTAAAATTAACAAACCATTCTTTGCCCTCATTAACAACAGAGTGTAGGACATTTTTGAGATCGATTACCAATTTGACTGTATCCATCAGAGCAGACCTGCTATCGAGACAGGAGTAAATGGTTGTCTTCAGCATAGATACCCAGTGGAGAGCTGATACTATCAGATAAATGATAAAAATATAGTTTTAAGATTTTCTATATTTATGGGTTAAAATGTTCAATATCAGGGATGGAGTGAACATTGAGGTCTGCACCAGCTGCAACAGGCTGTTTCATGCTTAAACACAGTCTTCAGGTTTCTAAGCAAATTTTTGGGTATTTTTTTTTTCTCTTTGAGAAGGATGCATGCAGACATGGTATTGTCTTTGCTTGTAAATAAACTTGAAAGAACAAACCAAACACAATGAATTCTAGTAAATGGTAATGCCATGAATCCAAGAGTTACTGATTAGTCAGTTTGACTTCATTCATGAATGAATGATGCTCATATCAGTGGAAAGAGGTTTGAATATTCAGTTCTTGATATCTGCTGATTTCTAGTGAAAGATCAGTTGATGATACTTGCTGTTTTAGTTGGAAATGAGAATAGATTTTAGGAAAAGAAAAATAGTTTTAGGAAAGAAAAATCAGTGCAGAATACTGAACTGATGCTGATGAAAAGGCTTGAACCCAGTTCTTTCTGTTCTGCCATCCATTACCTTAACTGCAATCCAACTGAAAATCTGATTTGCAAGTCTTTTATTTGTTATCCAATAAAGCAGCGTTTCTCAGCATTTTTAAGCAAAGGCACACCTAGGAGGAAATGAAAATATCATGGCAAACAAAGCAAAATGTTTAAAGAATATACATCTAAATGTTATTAAATAAAACCAGGGCAAAATAAGCATGTGCTTATGACATCAAGAGAAGAGGGCTGTACTGAAATTGTAAATGATATGGTGGTGTTGTATATGTCTAAAAAAAATAAGTCAAACAGGATTAACATTTGAATCAATAGGGTGCCATTATGAACAAGGAGACAACTGACCTGCAGTGAATTTTTATTGCCATTCTGATTGGCTAATAAGGGAATGAGCTAAGGGAGATAAGGTTTTTATTTACTCAATACATCACATCTTTCCTGTTGAATAAGTTAGTATTACTAATTAACTTAATGAGATTTAATTTTTGTGAACCAGGGTTAGACTACCTTCATGTTTGTTTGACATTATGCTAACCATATGTTTGTGACATGCCGGTTTGTTGATTACTCGATCACTTCTGTTCGCAGTTCTTTTAGAATCAGGTTGTGGCTCAGAAACGGTCAAAGCTGTGATTGGTTCTTTTTTGATTGATGTTGTTCTAAGTTGGAACTGATGATCGGCCTCTATCGATGGTTATATGTGCCTTCAGTTGCTTCTATATTTATTTCCAGCTAGTGTTTCCATTATTTACATTATTCAGACTATCGTCCTCATCTTTGTCGCCATATAGACAGATAGTGTTTCCATGTTGCATGTTCTCGGCTGATATCCTTTATTTGCACTACTTACTCCATACTAGCATACTTAACTCACAGGTGTATGGTGTCCCAAAAATCTTTTAAGTGCTTAGGGCCCCTATAGATCTTAATATGGCCCTGAATAAAAACAATATTTGTAAAAAAAAAAATACACGTACAAATATGAACTTAATTTCTATTCAACTATTTAAAAAAGAAAATACATTGTAAAAAATGAATATTAAAATTTTTTATTTAAAATAATAGCCACGATTACTAAAAAACACACACACACACATGTTTTTTTTTTAAACGGTGGAGTAATGCATATCTGCTTGAATTGGAGAGCTGAGTTCAAATTCCAGTCGAATCCATTATATTCACTTACCTGCTAATACCCTTGGGAAACGTATGAATCCTCTACTTCTCCCTCCAACTATGGGTGAATAGCAGTACAGACTGGGTTCTATAGCCTTGGATGGCAACTGAAAAAAGATTAGAAGGACAACTCTAAAACAACTATGGGAGGGTCGTTTGGGGACCTTATTTTGGCACTGTGGTGCACCAGGTCTCTGTATTTCCCTTCAAAAAGCATGGATTGTCCTGAACGAAACCTTCACCACTATAATCAAATCTCATGTTCTGTTGACGGGCTGTTGGTTTCCTGGGAACCGATCTGCTTGACATTCAAAATTGAATCAGCGGGAGAGAGAGAGATATATATGTGTGTGTGTGTGTGTGTGTATATGCAGTGACAATATCTTTTGGCACACTAGTGTCCCACATCATGGCAGTTGAAAATTACTGCAATAAGACGATAATGTAACCTTGCTGCTCGGATCAGACACCAGGTTCATTCTCAGGGTGCTGCTACTTCCAGTCAAATGCTTGTAGCTTAAAAATACCTATGGCCAGATCATTACCCACAAAATAAAACCATAGTACTAAACTGTAGCAGTAGACAAATTTTATTCTGTTTGTAACCTACTGTTGTAGACAGGTGAGGTGGGGGTGGAGGTGAGAGGGAGCAAACAGTTTAATGGGCATGTCTTCCATTTCATGTTGTCATGAGCAGTCTCTCATTGCTTCCTGTCTGCTCTCTGTGGGTCTCTGTTTTCAGCTGCTAGTGACCACTGTCTTATAGAGAACAGCATTCTTTGTCTTGTCATCTAAAAAGTAATTTATTAATAACCCAGGCTCTTGTTCCACTCAGTGACCTTCCTTGTCAGGGTTGTTTGACATGGTTCTTGTGACATCCACTTCACTGAGCTGACAATAATCAAGACAATTACTGTTGAAACAATTTCTCTAATATCTTTCAAATGTTTTCATTTAACAAGATACCAGCTGACACTGATACTGCTACAATGAAGGGTCTGTCTTCAGAAGGATTGACATTCCTATGTAGAAGTAATCATTATATTTTTTTTATACTCAAATGACAAAAACATGATTTCTTGCTTGCATTTTCTTTTATTCCATATCATCTGGAACCCATTTTGATTTGGCTTAATTCTGTCTCGGTGGTCACCAAATATAGCAGAAAATAGAGCAATTTCTTTATCTTTCCTGTATCGCATTCATTTGGTGAAAATTCCAGGGAATTGTTTGTACTTAGAATGTCTCCCTTTCAGGGAAAATCAGTTTGGGAAGAGATTTTCTCTGACAAATTTCCAGAGAGTTAGTCTTTTCTGACATTCTCATCTCTCTGTTCATGTTCTTTTTTTTTTCTTTTTTTTCTTTTTTCGCCTTTCTTTTTTTTCTTTTTTTCTTTTCTTTCTTTTTCTTTTTTTCTTTTTTTCTTTCTCTTCTCTCTTTCTTTCCTATCTCTTCTCTCTTTCTTTCCTATCTCTTCTCTCTTTCTTTCCTATCTCTTCTCTCTTTCTTTCCTATCTCTTCTCTCTTTCTTTTCTTTTTTCTTTCTTTCTTTCATTTTTTCTTTCTTTTTCCTTTCTCTTTCTCTTTCTTTCTTTCTTTTTTCTTTGTTTTTCTTTTCTCTCTTTCTTTCCCATCTCTCAATCTCTTTCTTTCCTTTCTCTTCTCTTTCTTTCCTTCTTTTTTCTCCAATTTTTTCCTTCTTTTCTTTTCATTCTCTTTCTTTCTATCTTTCTTTTTTCTCTTTTTTTCCTTTCTTTCTTTCTTTCTTTTTTTCCTTTTTCTTTCTCTTTCTTTCTTTCTTTTCTTCTCTTTTCTTTCCCCTCTCTTTCTTTCCCCTCTCTTTCTTTCCCCTCTCTTTCTTTCCCCTCTCTTTCTTTCCCCTCTCTTTCTTTCCCCTCTCTTTCTTTCCCCTCTCTTTCTTTCCCCTCTCTTTCTTTCCCTTCTTTCTTTCTCTCTTTTTTCTTTTCTCCATTTTCCCCTCTCTTTCTTTCCTCTCTTTCTTTCCCTCTTTCTTTTCCCTCTCTTTCTTTTTCTTTCTTTCTTTTCCCCTCTCTTTCTTTCCCTCTTTATTTTCCCTTTTTTCTTTCCCTCTCTTTCTTTTTTCTTTCTTTCTTTCCCTCTTTTCTTTCCCTTTCTTTCTTTCTTTCTTTTCTTTTCCTCCCTTTCTTTTTTCTTTTTCTTTCTTTCTTTTCCCTCTCTTTCTTTCTTTCTTTCTTTCTTTCCCCTTCTTTTTCCCTTTCTTTCTTTCTTTTTATTCTTTCTTTCTTTCTCTTTCTTTTCTTTTTTTTTTCTTTCTTTCTTTTCTTTTTTTCTTTCTTTCTTTTTTATTTTTTCTTTTTTTTTCTTTCTTTCTTCATCTTTCTTTTTTCTTTTCTTTCTTTCTTTCTTTCTTTTCTCTTTTTTCTTTCTCTATCTTTTTCTTTTTTCTATTTTTTCTTTCTTTTCTATTCTTTCTTTGTTTAATTTCTTTCTTTCTTTCTTTCTTTCTTTCTTTCTGTTTACTTTTTTCTTTCTTTCTTCTAAATTTCGGGATTTTCTTTTCTTTCTCTTTCTTTCTTTCTTTTTTTCTCTATTCACTTTTTTTTTTTCTTTCTTTTTTATTTTTTCTTTCTTTCTTTTTTTTCTTTCTTTCTTCTTTTTTCTTTCTTCTATTCTTTCTTTTTTTCTTTTTTATTCTTTCTTTTTTTCTTTTTCTATCATTTTTTTTCTTTCTTTTATTCAATTTTTCTTTCTTTCTTCTCTATTTTTTCTTTCTTTCTCTATTCACTCTTTCTTTCTTTCTTTCTCTTTCTCTTTTTTTTCTTTCTTTTCTATTCTACTTTTTCTTTCTTTCTTTCTCTATTCATTCTTTCTTTCTTTTTCTTTATTTTTCTTTCTTTCTTTCTTTCTATTCTATATTTTTTCTTTCTTTCTTTTCTTTCTCTTTCTTTCTTTCTTTCTTTTCTCTATTTTCTTTTCTCTTTCTCTATTCTCTATTTTTCTTTCTTTTTTCTTTCTCTATTTTTTTCTTTTTTCTTTTTCTATTTACTCTTTTTCTTTCTTTCTCTATTCCCTTTTTCTTTCTTTCTCTATTCACTCTTTCTTTCTTTCTTTCTCTATTCACTCTTTCTTTCTTTCTTTCTCTATTCACTCTTTCTTTCTTTCTTTCTCTATTCACTCTTTCTTTCTTTCTTTCTTTCTCTATTCACTCTTTCTTTCTTTCTTTCTTTCTCTATTCACTCTTTCTTTCTTTCTTTCTCTATTCACTCTTTCTTTCTTTCTTTCTCTATTCTTTTTTTCTTTCTTTCTTTTCTTTCTTTCTTTTCTTTCTTTCTCTATTCCTCTTTTTCTTTCTTTCTCTATTCACTCTTTTCTTTCTTTCTTTCTCTATTTTTCTTTATTCTTTGTCTATTCACTCTTTCTTTCTTTCTTTGTCTATTCACTCTTTCTTTCTTTCTTTGTCTATTCACTCTTTCTTTCTTTCTTTCTTTCTTTCTTTCTTTCTCTATTCACTCTTTCTTCTGTCTTCCCATCCCACCTCTGTTTATGTCTACTCTCTTCCTCCCTGTCTTTTCTCTCTTCCTCATCTCTTGCCCCTTCTGTCCTCTTTCTCTTTCTTACTCTCTCTTTGTTCTTATGTCTTTCTCTCTGGATCTCCCTCTCTTGTCTTCATTTTTCTCTCTCTTCTCTTCTCTCTCCTCCTGTCTCTTTTTTCTACTACTTCTGTCTCCTCCACCTCTTCCTCACATTTTGGAATTTATTCTTTGTTTCCCATTAAATTGGAATGTTCCTCCTAGAGATTTCTTTTCGTTCTTGCTTGATTTTGTCTGCAAGAATCAGCAAAAGGCTTATTTCTA